ATCTGAAAGGAATGCACTCTGAGTGTTTAAACGTCTGTAAAAGTAGATGTCTATGATGCTCCCTGAGGAAAAAGGGAAACTCTATTGAAGTTTTACTGATAATATTACATTTCTAAATCTTTCCACAGGTTTTTGACATCGGAATGTTTCTCACATTCCTAGCATGAAGCACTGAGAGACTGAGGAATCGTTTCAGAGAAGAATGTGAGGAATGTAGATCTTGGCCTCTCTGAGGAAACCACGGCTCACACAAGAGCTTTTGTGTGACTCAGAAAGAAAAAAAAATTAAAATACATGAAAAATTTGAAAATGGAAGCAAATCAGAGATAAATCAAGTTGATGACACCTACTGATCTCTGGTCAGGTTCAGGTGAGGAGCCCTTCTCTGCGATTCTTCTCCTGAAGGACAAAGGACAATGTTAGCCATCAAAAATAAAATGGTAACATAAAGATAACTGTTCTTAAACTAATCAGAACTTTCCATTTATTCACATGGAAGCATCAGAATCTGCTATATGTAAAGTAAAGGACTCTGTGGCTACAAATGCTCAGGATGAACACTGAAGACGGCCATAAATGTCCCAAATGACGACAGAATCCTACAGTCATGCAGCTGTAATCTGAGTCTAGTGGGTTTTGCATTAAAATAGATCTAATCAATAGAATAAGGAGCTTCACACAAACTAGAATCAGCAATCTACCTCCTGGCCAGTAAGGCGCTCATCTCCTCCATCAGTCCTCCTCCTCCAGGCAAAGGCCCATTTCCTCTGGCCTCAGTTTTGGCCCCTGCGGCCCCCGACAGGGCCGCTGCCAGAGCTGCCCCTGCGTCATCGCTCTATAGGGAGAAACAAACAGCTAACTGTGAATTTATCATGTGTTTTATTTCCAGTGTTTTGTCATGTAGCACAGATAAGGAGCCATGGAGCGTTGGGCCTGAGGTGAGCTGTGACAGATGGTGACTGCATGGGTGAGACCAAGCATGACTCCCTGAGCTAGAGGAGCTGCAAACCACTAAAGCAACAATGGCTCAGGTGGCAGGGAGAACCGGGCTGCTCACCCTTGGCACTTTGCGCAGCTTTGCTCCAGCGAGGGCGGCGGCCAGACCAGAGATGGGGCGATCCTCGGCAGGAGAGAAGAGCCCCGCGGGAAGAGGTGGTGCCGGGGGTGGTGGTGGTGCTTCGGGAGGGGGAGGAGGACCCGGCGGAGGGGGTGGCGTCCCGCCTGGAGTCAGAGAGGGAGGGAGAGGAGGAGCCGGTGGTGGAGGAGGGTGTCCGGCCGGGGTGATGGGGGTGGCAGCTGCTGAGGTCACAGTGGAGCCGGGCGGCAGGGGTGGAGGTGGGGGAGGGGTAGGGGTGGTCAGTGCCGGAGTCTGAGCCACGTCTGCTGGGATGGATGGGGAGGGGAGAGAAGAGAAAATCAGGTTGAAAGTTTCGTTCTGACAGAATAAAACCTCAGACCTTCAACCAATTCTCCAAACCTGGAGGTTTTCCTCCTTTTCTAACTTTAATTTGAACAAAGAAACGACTGAAAGCTGAATAACTACTGCTTCTCTACAATAAACCTTCCTCACATTAAACACTTCTAGCGTAATAATTCAGCTACTAATTGTCCTTAGCCATGGAGCTCATAGTTACTCATCTCCACGTTCAAAATGACAAATAATCTCTGATTTGGCTGCATAACAACAACCCAAGAAAATAGGAGCATTAGAATCCGATGGAGATTTACAGATTAGGTTGAAATCATTCATAAACAAGTAGATTAAGAATAAGAAACCTTTAGTCTGACTGGTAGTAATATTAACTGAACCCTGGCTTGAACCTCTGGAGCGAGCTAAAGATTAGGGTTATGGTAGGAAGGCATTCCGACCTCAAAGACAAGAGGATCTGCTAATTAATACAGAAACAAATGATTACAAATTGTTTTACAAAGATGGCCGCCTACATTTTTTCTAAAACAAATGTCTAAACTGAATGGAATTGATTTTAAATCTAATTTCCACTCATTATGAATTATTCTGGGCTTTACTGTTTACAATAACAGGATGTGACATCATCAGTAATGAGCTGAAGGAGAACAACACAGGTGATTTGATCCACATGTTCAGAGCGAATAGGCGATGTGAGGGGGTTGATGAACTAATGTGATATTTTAGGGATTCCAGTAAAAGGTCGTGGTTATGTTTTCTTGTTCTTTTTTTGACTTTAATCTGAGCAGAGCTTCTTGGATTCTATTTTGCAGCAAGTATTGATTCTTGATTATCACCAACACATTATGATTTGTTTGGAGTAAATCAGCATTTTCCAAAGTGGAGAGGGGTGCCCCCTAGAGGGTATCCAGTGTAATTGCATTGGGAATTTTTCTAAAAAAAAAAAAAAAAAAAACTTTGACAATATTGATTCTGTTAAAATGTCAAATAAAGACTTAATTATGAAATAATTATTTTTTTATTGGACAGTTGTTTACTTTATGACTTTCATTCTACTGTTAAAAAAGGTTTTGGTTTACCAGTTGTTGGTTTACGGTGTGATCTTCATCACGACAAACTTAAGTATGGCTGCAGTCATCAATTACAGGGTTTATACAGGAATGAGTCACTCTAATTAAATGCTTTTTCATTATCTTTCAATGCTCTTAGAAATAATTTAAATGCCATCAACAAGTACCCCTCGACAGGCTGCAACCATGTCCCGAATTCCTTGTTTTCCAGCAACTTTTGCTGAAGTTTGCATTTTCTTGATTTTCCTTTTTCTCCGCCTCGAGCTTCTTTTCCGAACACACAGCTTTATGATCTACCGGAAGCTGTTCCATGCAAATGTATCGCAATGTAATATATCTGACAAAACTGTTTTTATAAATGTTTTTTTTTTAAATAAAGAATTTTAAATGCAAAAATAATCACAGTTAATTTATTTCAATGCCAATCAATGCCTTACTTTAAAAAATAATAAACTGACTTTTAAATGATTTTCAATGACCTGCGGAAACCCTGAATTATTCATACTTTTCCGATAATCTAAAATAAGTTAATATTTTGAAATAAATAAATGAAATAAGTTAATATTTTGAAATAAATAAATGTTTGAATTACAGGAATAATAACAGGGTTTATACAGGAATGAGTAGCTCTAATTTAATGCTCTTAGAAATTATTTTAAAGCCATCAGCAAGTACCCATGAATCTCCTATAATCAGAATCCTTTATCTTTACCATTCACAGGTTTGCTGCTATGTCTTGAATTCCTCGTTTCCCAGCCACTTTTGTTGAAATTTGCATTTCCACATTCTCCTGCTTTTTCTCTAGCCTGGGTGCCATTCCGAACTTAGTCCCGCCCACAAGGTTTGAGGTCGGGAAGTTCGGTCTGGCTCTGCTCCATAGTAGCGCGAGTATTATCTCCCACTGTCAGGCGATCCAATCAAATTGTCAGGGCGGGCTTTATACTATGATGGACAGATGATCAACAGTAACCACCAACGCACTTGGGTGACAACAACAATGGCTGCCGCCGGAGAGTTGAGGTGAGTAGATTCTGCTATTAGGTCTGTTCTAGAAGATATCGACAACAAATTAATTTTAAAAGAGGAACAGAGAAACGCGATCAAGGCTCATCTTCTTATTATAGGCGTGAAACTGCATGCTTTGATTTTTGTTGACAACAACTATGCGTTGCTTAACATACACTCCGTTGCTCTTATTGGTTGTAGGTCTGTCCAATTGAGTGCAGAGGCATTTTTTTTCCTGGTTCGTTCGAAACACGCCCCATAATCACAGCTCTATGGAGCAGTATCAGACTCATATTCTGACTAGAATTGAGTAGGACTACATCAGGTTACTTTTTCTCCGCCTTGAGCTTCTTTTCCGAACATACGGTTTTACGATCAACCAGAAGCAGTTCTACGCAAATATATCGCAATAATACATCTGACAAAATTGTTTTGATAGACTTTAAAAAATTTTTTTTTATATAAAGCATTTTAATGCCACGATAATCAAATTAAATGAATTTTAATCCCAATTAAGGCCTTAATTTAAAAAAATAATAATTTAATGACTTAATGATTGTAATGACCCGTGGACACCTCTATTGCTGAATAACCTTTATTGCTAATTTTAGATGAGTTCTAAATGGCCAAAACAAGATAAAAATATACTTGCATGTAACATTTTCAATGTCAAATGGAAAATATTTAAATTATTTGTACAGTTGTGTCCTAATTGCTGCTGTTAGTATGTTCTTCTTTTAGCAAGTGGACTGTTTTAATGTCTATGTTCCATTAATCTAGTTAGGGAATTAATGCCAAATTAGTTGACGACTTTTTTAGAAATAAATTGATCATGAGTTATCAGATGAAACTCTACACCTAAGCATGATCCAATGGCAAATCAAAAAACAATTTATTTTCACATTATTCTACTTCCAAACCCTGCAGCTCAGCTGGATGGTAATACTACTGGCATCTAAGAAGCAACTGAGGAAAGGATGCAGGAGTTTTCCTCACTCTAAATGAGGTAATAAAATACGTTTCATCCAATTTATTAACTGTACTTCCCTCATTATAACATTGCAGTATAAAGTAAGGTACAATGCGTGATGCATGCCCCTGTTTGACTGTAAGCCCACAACCAGCAACATGGAGGTGCAAGTTATTAATGACAGTCATTTCAGAGCAGATTAATGTGCAGTAAAGATGGATTCAGGAAACAGTGAAACAGTGAAACACAGCATGTTTTGTTTCTTTTATGATGAACAGAACAACCTGATTCAGCTTGTTGAGCTGAATGTGAAGCAACAGCAGCCAACAAGCAAAACATTGCTTGTTGGCTTGTTGCTAAACACTCATCTGGGTGTATTCATGAAAACAAGATGATTGTCTTTGAATAGGAAGATGTGACTGCTTGAAATGAAATGCTGTCTGTTGATTAATGAAAGTCAACCCAACCCCCCGCCTTTTCCTTTGACACCAACTGGTACTGGGGGGAAAACGTCCTCAGGCCAGAGAATGGAGGTCAGTGGGCCTCTGCTGTGTTATGCTATCTATTGAATAATCTATTCATTCAGCAAATTTAAAGTGTTGATGACACCATTTGGACATTTTCTAGTATTTCTTGTTGAACAATATGTTAATATTGATCAAGGGCATCCACATATAATAGATTTGAATCTAAAAAGACTATAGCATCGCAGGCATGATATATACGGTAGAACAACAGAGTTGGAACTGGTTTTGTTACAGACAGCTGCTGAATTTTTCATGGATTAACATGCAGCTATCCCATCGCATAGAGTTGCAGCGTTTTGCTTCAACCCCCATAAGGATGGCTTCAACTAATTTAAGTTTTCTAAGGATCCTGAGCTACTTTCAAAGTGGGTGAAGCAGGTCAGACAAGATCGGGAGAAGTTGGAGCAGTTCCATGGCCTCTCTTCTGTGGTTGGAATATGTGTTTTTTTATTTGTTCCCTCATCTAGTTGTCCAATAAAACTCTAAAGTGAACTGCTGCCAACAGCCTGCCTATGGCGTCCCTGTATGTATGGGGAGAAAGAGAACATTAGCCAGTGTTTGAGTCAGACACTGACGGATTGTTATAAGGAACCTTGTGCCGCTCCCACAGCTTCATTTTCCAGCTCCACATCCAAGCTCAGATGATGTTGAGGTAAAAGAAATCTAAAAAATATTCAGAAAAGAACCAGAGGCTGATTTGGAGCTTAGATCATAGATTGATCCAAAGTTAAGTGTTTTTAGCTTCTGTATGCTGTTGAAGATTCTCAGTCATAGTCATTTCCAAGTTTAACGACGTATCGCTTCCCATCCAGGAAGCTTTTTCAATTCAAAATGTCAGAAATAGCGTTGAGTTCAAGGCTTTATAGAGTGGATCAAAAACAAAGCCTTTGTTTTGGCTTAGAAACATGCAAGTTGACCCAGAAGAATAGGTCCACCTCTTAGGAATGTAGAGTCGTTTGGGTTCTTTGTTAGCCTGCAATACCCAATACTGGTCTATGTCTCTGAAATGGGGTTGTTAGGGGGAATTGTTGGCCTGGCTAAACAGGTGAGATATTCTGGTCCCCCGTATGGGGGTTGTGATTGCGATGATAGCGGGAAGGAATCAAATATCGCTGCAATGTAGGTTTTTGAAAGCTGTAACCAGACTCCACTCCCTCTGTTTAAGGTTGATTTTTCCTTCTTAAGCTTCTGTAGTACCGCAGTAAGAGCTAACTTCATGCTAAAATCTTGGCTGTTTGTTCTGTATTGGATGTTTTATAGGTATTTGGTTTAAAATAGGTTCAAATGAATTTATGCTTTTTTTTGTTTTAGAATTGGGGGTGTTTACATTGTTTTTGGGCTGGAAACAGGCAGATCTGACAACACTAGTAGCAAAGAGCAGGTGGAGTAGCAGGCTACACCTTTAAGAATATAGGAGATTATTTATTTTAACAGCAGTGGGGGGTTTATTATTAAAAATAATGGTAATTTAAACTATCATAAATCAATTTATATTTTTTAAACTAATAATAACTGATTATACTGTCTGTACAAGAGGCGGCCATGTTTTTCCAGCGTGCATATTCTCCTTGGGCTGCTATGGTCATAATAGCATCACCCTCTGGCTCAGAGTCCGACTCTGTAGACTAGAGGTTTATTCTGGATGGTTCTGACCTGTAAGGTGTGACGCCTCCATGTTCCTCAGTCTCACCACCCGCTCCTGAGCTTAAACTGGCTGATGGTTCAACCACACAAACCATTTCCAGACTAGATGTTTTGGAACGACCATCAATGTTTCCGTCCTTCTCCGTTATAGAATGCTGAGCGAGCTCCAACAGGGTTCTCCCTCTGAGGTCACCACATGGAGGTGGGTTTTTACCAACTATTGATCAGAGTGCTGCTGTGGAGCCATTTGTGTTAAAATAAGCCAGTTTGATTCATAATAAGCACCTGGTATCTCCTGCTGCATGGTTTTAATGCAAGATGACATTAACCCTTTAAAGCCCGATCCAAGAATAAAACAAAACAGAAAATTACTTTTTTTTGGTTTAAAGTCCTTATTTGGCCTTTTAACAAAATATGTAAAAAGAAAAAACAGAAATACATTTTTGATATTAATAATTTATTACTATGCGATAAGTCAAGATTATTTTTTGCGTAGTCTTCTGCCCTCTGTTATCAGGTATATCTGATTGTGTACAATAGGATTTTGAGCAAAGTTTTTACCATTAAATTATGCAAAAGGTGTCAGACGCAAAACATTTCAGAAACCGTATGTATCAAATATGATACATTTGGCATTACAGGGTTAAATCATGTTGCATCATCAACATGTTAAGCTAAAATTCAACATCCTGTCCTTTTTAAAACGTATAGATGCTCACTGACACATTATTGTTATATTTATAGGCCGAAGCTGGGTGAGACTGTCTGGATGCAGGCAGGAGGTGTAAAGTCGGATCGAAACAAACCACAGAAGCAGCCAAAAGGTGGAAGATTAATGAGAAAAGAAGAAAAAAAGAGGGAAGGTGTTAGATCTGCTTTAACACATAAGGATGAGTCAGGCATGCCAAGCTGGACAAAACAAGTTTCATATTCAATGAGCAGACAGCCTGGTCCTGCAGCAGCAAGCAGGATGTCCAGAGAACGGATGGGATGGAGAAACATCCGCTACCGTTAATCCTAAACAAACTACAGCCACGATTATCTTTTGCTTTGCAAAAGTATTTATATCACTTAAACCTTTCCAAATTTATCACAATTTAACAAACTCCTATATGCCTTAAAAGGGATTTTTTTGTGATAGACCGAAACAACGGATTGCATAAATGTGCAGAGGAAAAAAAAAATCTATTTTAGATAAAATCTCGCTGTGCTAGCATTCAGCCGTCTAAGGAAGATGGTAGTTTGTAGTAAAAGGTGATTGCACAAGAACAACAAAAAGTCTTTTCTGGTTTATAGAGCTACTTCTTCTACATAGGCTCTTTGCAGAAAAGCCCATTCTCAACCATGTTAGCTGAGAACAAAAAGTTTTGCCTCAGATTCTCAATTTGATTTGTCTGGACTTTGATCTGTATTTAGGGTCACTGTTTGGATGGAAGGGGGAGGACTTTTCTAACCTCAAACCGGTTTTCCCCCATCATCTCCCTTTAGCTTCTCTGTCCCTAATGCAGGAAAGCAGAGTTATGTTTCTGCTAACAAGGTTTTTGTTATTGTGTCTGTGTCAGAACATCTGCCCTAAATTCCTCCATCACTCCATAGTGGATTTGAGTTCAGGTAATCGAACGTTCGGACAGATGATCCACTGACCCACGCTCCCGTTGCTCACGCAATTCTGCCTCCTCGTACAGTGCATGCGTCATCTTTGTGCTTTGTCGCCACTGTCCCTAGCATACAACGGGTCGCTGTCACAAAAAATCCCATGATGCTTTGCAAGGAGAACTCTCGCAAAGAAATCTGGGATATATCTACTCGTCTAGTGACCATGGATGATCACTACTTTTCATGGTGCATTGTGGGAAATTTTGAATCTGATATGTTTTCATCCACTAGACCACAGGTGGCAAACTGGTTCCAGAAAGAGCCGTGTGGCTGCAGGTTTTCTTTCCAACCAAGCAATGGCACACCAGACTCCATTCATCTCACCAAGTCATCATGTTCAGATTGGACTCACTTGATGAGATGAATGGAGTCTGGTGTGCCATTGCTTGGTTGGAAAGAAAACCTGCAGCCACACGGCTCTTTCTGGAACCAGTTTGCCACCCCTGCACTAGACGTTCGGACACTTATTTAAAATGGCGTAAGCACTATATAGTGGTCAGGGCGGACATTCTGACACAGCCAATGTGTGTCGAATACTTTGATTGTGGTCTCATTGGTGCCCTTCCATAGACTAGCGACCTATTCAGGGTGCACCCCACCTTTTACCCATTGAAAGCTGGAGATGGGCACCAGCACCCCTCGCTACCCCGCTTGGAATAAAGCCTGATGGAAAATGGTTGGATGGATGGTCTCATTGGACCTTTTCACAAATTTTCTGTGTCCTTCCAGCCACACTACTCTTCCTCAAAGGATCAGTCTTTTAAGCTAAAAGATTCTTCTTCTTCTTCCCAGGTTGTGGTGCAACCAAAGGCCTTTGGCTGCTCCTGCACACTAATCACCCAGTCTAACAGTTCAGGTCAGGGGCGTCCAAACATTTTGCAATGGGAGACAAAGGTTGACCAGAGGTTCTTTTGGGGCCAAAATTAACATTACTTTAACCGGTTTAACAATAATGCAAATACATGATATTTTTTAACACATCAAACTGGTCCAATTTTATAGAGTAATATTGTTGCAGAGATCATGTCATGTAAGGTCGAAATAAAGAACAAACCAATCCAGAAATGAAACTTTAAGAATATTAATAAAATAAAAGGTTTTGACAGTAACTTTGATGTTTTCTTTTTTTTTTTTTCAATTTTCCTGTTTTTCCAGAATCAGTTTAATGAACTACATTCTTTTGAAACTGCGTGTTCCAGAAAACTTTCTCTTTACTTCTGGTGGCGGGCTTTTCTCTGGAGAGAAGACTTGTTTCTATTGGTCTGCTGGATGCTAACATTTTAATGGTCACTGTGAACTATAAGAGCCAGCATTTATATTAGGCCTGAAATGAAGAGCATGTGATCTGTGAAAAAAATTTAAAAGAATGACATTTATGAGAAAGAGAAACCTAAAACAATGGATTTAAAAATCTAAACTGTAAAAAAATGAAAATAAACTTTAGGAAAATAAACACATAAAGCAAAGTTACTCTCAATATCTTGTTATATTTAAGATGCTTTTCAAAGTTATATTTCTAGATTGAATTTGTTTTAATGTTGGTCTATTAGGTAAATGATTCACAAACAGACTAAAGAAAATGTACAACAGCTCAGCTTGTATAATAATAATTATAATAAATAATTGAACTTCATTAATCTGACATTGGAGAAATGTACCTCTGCATTTAACCCATCCCATTGGGGAGCAGTGGGCTGCCATCGTGGGGCGCCCGGGGAGCAATCGGGGATTAAGGGTCTTTGCTCAGAGAGCCTAAGTGGCAGTCTGTATGAGTGGGTTTCGAACTCACAACCACACGATTCCAAGATATATGCCTTAACCACTAGGCCACCACTTCCACTAATGCGAAACTTCATTGTCAGGAGTGGGATTTGAACCCACGCCTCCTATGTGAGGCTAGAAACCTCTAAGCTGGTAAGGATTGACACGTTGAGTCTGGCGCCTTCGACCGATCGGCCATCCTGATCCTTATAAGAGCCGATAAAAGTCAACAGAATAAACAATAGCAAAAACAATTCACAGCAAAAACTGGCCTAAAATCAAGATAAAATAATCTTTGAGACTTTAGACTTTTAATTTGAGCAGATAAACAAGGAGGTCTGCCAATGGAATGAGTGTTTTTGCTTTTAAAAATCTTATTTATCAGCAAATTGTCTTATTTACCTGCTAAAATCAAAGGAAGATCTACTCATTTGTAAATATTTCATTTGTTTTTTGCAGGTTCTGTAAGGCACGGGAGCCGGCTCCACCATCTCCCTGTTAGTGATTCAGACAGAGGCAGCGAGAGACAGAGGGAAGAAGAGCAGAGGAGAGATTGCAGAAACCACATTGGAAGCCTTACCCTGGGGCTGGGGCTGACAGGAGGAGCCCCCCTGAGCTGGGAGGGGCCCAGAGCCTGCGTCCGATTCCAGGGACCCCGACAGGCCCAGACCCACGGGGAGGGAGAGGTGCTCAGCAGAGACAGAGGTGGCGGCAGCTGCGGCAGCAGGGGGCGCTGTGGAGGGAGAGGGCAGACCAGGAGCCTGGGATGAGGAGACGGACGAAGACGACACGGGGAGGCCCATGGGTGAGGGGAGAGGGGGAGGGGTGGGTGGCGGGGGCGGAGTGGGGCAGGTGATTCCGAGGGGGGTGTGGCTGTGTGGGATGGTGACAGGTGAAGGTGCGGGGAACATGGGGGGGCCGTTGGGGGATGGCGACGGGGGCTTCTGACTGAGTGGGGACTGCCCCGCCAGAGGGATGAGGGGCCGCGGGCCCGTGGCCTTCCCTGGGGGGCTGCTGATCATGACTGGAGGCGAGGGTGGCAGTGGGGTGAAGTTACACGCTGACCACACCACAGACTTGGGCGGAGTGGGAGGGGTGGGGGCTGGAGGCGGGGCTTGCGGGAAGGCCGGCTGCCGCCTGGGAACCGTGGCGTAATGAGGCAGGACAGGATGGAAGGCAGAACCAAGCGAGGTGGCGAATCGGGAGGCCGACTGTCTGAGCGGCGGGGTCGGGGGCGCGGTGGAGGAGGGGGAGGGTGTGGTGGGAGCAGGGAAAGTGGGTGTGGATGGAGATACGGGTGTGGACGAGGTCCTGCCGTATTCCTGAGGTGTGGGAGTGTAGAGTGTGCTTTCAAAGGCTGAACAGCCAACGGGGGAAATGAGCATCGGGGATGAGACAAGACAGACAGGAGGATGGAAGGAAGCAGCCATCGTGCACACGGGGGGGAAAACAGCAGGTCAGGAGGAAGAGGAGGAAGAAAGGGAGGAAAAAAGAGAAGGGGGAAATGAAGCAGGAAACCAGCAAAGAGCTAAAGTTCTCTTCCACCTCCTGTGTACCACCATGATGCGACTACTCCATGTTAGTGGACAGGGATTAGTATTGACAGATATCACAGTCCTGCTTGTTAAAAGAGTGAAACAACAAGAGGGGAGAAATCATCTAGAGTTATTCACATCAGACATACAAAAGAATCAGATCTGATGCCATCATAACTGTCCTGAAGCCCATCTAACCAGAGGGCGATTGATAACAGCATTTCATATCTCATAATGAACAACCTCTGGAGAGTCGGTCATACAAACCTCTCCCTCAGCAGGAAGCACCTTTCATCTAAACATGCTTTCTATTGGGAAATCTATTACGATGATAATTTGCTTCTTGAGTGAAAGAAAAAGCATCTTCATATAGAGATAAAGGACAAATTAACATAAAAGTGCCGGTTTAGATTTTTTTTAATCAGAAAACATGTACAGTGATTTGCAGAATGTAAACAACAGTTGCTGGGAATGTAACCAATCGTTGCAGTTTATGAGAGTGTTGCAGTGCAGCATCCCACAGCTGATTGACATGGTTGGTTTCTGGCATGGAAAAGCCTTAAAGTCGCAGGGAAGCGGCTGTTTCAACCGCTGCATTTCCGAATTCTCCCGAGTGGTGCTCGACTTCACATGAGTGAATAAAGTGAATGATTGGTCGATTATCAAGGCGGCGGGATTGTTGTGGCGGAAAGTTCACAAGCACGTTTGGTTGTGGCCGGTTTATCGGAAGCATCTAGCTAACCAGTTAGCAACTTAGTGCTAGTAGGTTCCCAATGGGAAATTCCATTGGGACCAAGTAGCACTAAATTGGTGACTTAGAAACGACACTGTCAAGGAACGATATGGACAGAGGAAACATGCAAGAGGAGGAGAGTTTAGTGTCAGAGGTCGTGGATGAGTCTCCTCCGTCGTCTATTTTTATTTAGAGGAGGAAAGCGGGGATGAAGATGTTGTGGAAGAGGACGCCAGGGCGGCAGAAGCTTGGTTTGGTGTAGAAGGCTTCCAGCCGTACATGTTTGAGCCCTTGCCTCGCAACGCTGCCAGTTCTGTTAGCTCTACGCCTGCTGAAGACACAGACGTCCATCCCCGTGAACACTGGGACGGAACTCAATGGGAAAGGAAATGATTCTGATTTCTTATTTCAACCGTTGCATATATTAGCTGTGACACATGAATCAAGATGCTATGAGCGAAAACATTTGACAGATGACGGTTGATATATGATTGGCCGAATTTAGGTGTTCAGACTGAACTAACTGGCCTGGATAAGAAAACAAAAATAAAAACATAGATTTTAAGACGGGATTTGTTTTTTTAAATAGAAATTTTCTAAATTTTGGGACAATATGGTCTGATAAAGAGTACATTTATATACATGTTTAAGCCAGAATGATTTTATCATTCTGACACTTCGACACTTCAGTCTTTCTTCTCTTCTAGTCGTTTAGCTTTCAGATAGATGAGTCTGAGTAGCTCCATCTCACTGCGGACCCGAGTCACAAGTGATTTTTAGACGTACAGTGTGAGCAGGCAGATTGCATTAGAGTGTCGGGTCGCTCAGTGTGAGAACATATATGGTGAACATTTAAACCCTGCGGTTTCGTCGTACGGTGTGAGCTGTGGCTGTGTGCAACGATTGAAAAAGAATCAAAGTGTATGCCCGGCTTTAGCCTGCTGTATCAGTTTAAAAACCAGCTTCCATGTATGTTGGATTCACACATTTTCTCATCTTATAAGAGTTAAGATGAAGAACATGGAGGTAGTCCCCAAGTATGATGCTGCCACCACCATGCCTTATAGGTGGTGCAATGTTCTTTAATTTTAAAGCCTAAATTCGACTTTTCTGAATAAACTTATTGTTGTGGTAAATCTGTTTATGTTCTGTAACTTCTGACCATGAAACATTTCACCAGAAAGCAGATTAAAGTTCAGTCTGCCTTCCCTGTTTCTACTAAAGCCTGTTTTTCTGCTCTGTACGTCTTTGTCCACAGTGGCCCTAAAGACGCTTTTACAATGAACAAATGCTAAAGAGTTTGAATAAAGCTTAATATCCTGCAATGAACCAGCATATTCAAAAAATCTCAGCTGGTTTGTCAGACTAAAGGTTAAAAACTACTTTTCAGCAAATATTACATCCAATTCCTTTATCAATATCATATCAGTACCAAATTTCTGTTGGTGGGCAAATGACCAAATGAACAGAAATAAAGGCTTGAAAGCAACCTGTGTGCAAGTTAAAAATCTCTGTAGATCAACATTAAACCAATCCAATCAGAAACGTATATTACTAGATCGTATATTAGCCACTATAGCTAGTGATGTTTGCAACGAGGCGCCATTACTAGGCCTAGAATTGTACATGCTAATAATAATAATTACTGGACATACTGATTCATTCAGATGTGTATGGCTGGTTACTGACGTTCTTTTCTTTCCAGCTCTCTTCTGCCTGCTCTCTGCTTTACTATCCAAGTTATTTCTCTTTCTTCTCTTCATCTTTTCTTTCCCTCAGTGTTCCTATTTTCCTCCACTCTCGTTCAGTCTTCCTATCTTCTTCCTCTCTCCTCTTCGTAGACTTTTCAAAATAGAAATATTAGATACTAATCACAATATCTCATATAAAGGTATAAAATACTGAAAATGGTAATTACCAAAATATTTGGAGCTACAAGCAAAGACAACATAATAGATGAGCATTAGCAGGTCGTTATCTCTTCCTCCATCATTCTCAGATCATGCAGATCTTGTCTCATTCAGTTTTCCTGTTACTGACTCCTGTTTTTCACGAGGAAGTTTCATATAACCAAACTGAGTAATAGAAAAGCACAGCTAATAACTACCTAAAAGAAACTAAATGGCATAAATCAGTTCTAAAACATCTTTAGTTTAACCCTTGTTGATCCCTGGAGAACCACTTTAACAGATCGGAGTCTCAAAAGGAGTTTTCAATCATCTGTTATATCTAATCCGAGTCTCTTACTTAAGAGAGCTCCAACCTGTGATCTTGTCTTACTTTTAATTTTTTTTACATGGGCACTATCCAAAAATTTATCAGAAGGATCAGTCCAATCCATATCAAAATTAATTAATTAACACCCTTACTAAAACACAGGGCAGCTGCCATCAGCAGCGACCGCTTCTGACAACAAACTTCCCTTTATTCTTCTGTTTTAAAACTGATTCGCTCTTCTCCTACTTTTTATGTGAAGAGCAGCACAGAGAGCTACTGTAACAGTTGTTTCTGCAAACAATCCAGTCTAATCTGAACATTTCCCCCCATTCATAGGTATCATTGGGGACATTTCTGGGTACAGCTTTGGACGGGTGGTCCAAATCGGGGACCTGAAATGGAGGACGTCTGCTCAATGCATGGTCAAAATCATTGTTTAACCCCAAGCAGAAAGGCACCGTAACAACCTTTGAGACATCCATGCTGATGATGCGTAAAGCTTGGACAGGCACTGATTAAATGGACGGTTACCTTGTGCTTGAATAAAGCTGCACACATCCTGAATGACGCCGAGTAGATTAATCAGAGGTTTGGAACAGCAGAGAAAGGCAGAGTGCTAATTTTCCACTTGGTTTATTTCCTCCTTAATCTAACCTGAATCAGTCTCTGTTTGAGGTAATTACCTTAATTGCATTGTGCTCTAGCAGCAGCTAACAGCCTGAGTGGTGTTTGGAAGAAGCTGCCATATGCGGTCTAAGTAATGTAAAGTTGTTAATCCCTCAGATTAGCGTCTGCTCTGCCTCCTACAACCAACGCTGGAAGAAATTGCGTGTAGGTCTAAGTCTTGTGATTTGATTTGGGTTTTAGTTGAGGGTTCAGTCTGGTGCTACATGCTCATTAAATGTTTAAAATAAAAACAGTCCTACCGACTTTTTAATATCCAGCGCCTGATAATTGCAGTAGTTAATTACATCTTCATGTTGCATCCTAATTAAGGAACAAACACACAACTGGTCTGATCCCAGCTAGTTACACTCTGTAAATACACGGCATGTTTGGTTAGTCGCCTCTAAAGCAGTCTGAGAAACACCCCATTTCACACCAGCTTCTCTGTCCTTCTCCCTACTGTAAGTCAACTACGATTTAATTTTTTTCCTAGTCTATACATGTGTTATTATGGTCCAACTCTCCTGTCTGATAACAGAAGAATAGAAGGATGGTGGAGGAATTTAGATCCCTATTATCCTACTAGAAAATCTCACATCTGTGCATTTATCAGTAACATAATGCTGGTTTAAAATCCTTATTACGAGATTTTTTAGAAAACTGTATCCTGTTTTCGATCAGCTGTAAAAACATAATCTAAACTAAATTAAAAAAATAGAATCAGCTTTCAGGTTGTTAAACAGAAGCATGTAGATTGAAACTGTTAGCGTTGCCTCAGCTGTGTGAGCAGCAGGCTCTAACAGCCTGAAACACAGCGACACAAACCGATTCTGCAACAGACAAAATCTGATCTCCACGGAGCAGGAAATGTCAGATCCCATCCTGCAGCCTGATGGTTTGTTTGCATTTAGCCTTTCATGTGAAGTGCATGTTATTCTGCCTGACATGTGAGGCTACCCCCATCTGCCTGCCTGCCCTGCAGCTTTTACATGCATGTGTGCTCATACCAACACATCCCTCCTCCGGGGTCTCAGCCTGTCTTCCTGATGATGTATTTTTAGTGTGAGTAACTCTAATTTAGCGTGTGTGTGGTGTTTATGCGTGCGTATGCTAACTAAATGAGCGCTCCATTCAACGCAGCCTTCCCTGCTGACCCAGTCCCAGATTCAATCACAGCCCAATGAAATCAGGACCCCGCCTACATTTAACTCATCTAACTTAACCTAAAGATTAAGGAGCTGCTGTTGAAAATGAGGTTTTCAAATTGAAAATAAATCGACTTTTAAGGGCGTAAGAGAAATCCTGTCTTGTATTATAAACTGGGTTGGTTTATTGTGGGACTCATAGGGAACGGTCTGCAGTGATGAACAGAACCTATTCTGTAGGGACTGAATAATACAGAAGATCCAGTTAGTGTGTTTAAAGGAGAATTCCGGTTTTTAACACTTTTAGCCCATTTTCTGTAGTGTCCAGGATGAAATCGAATGATCGACACCAAAATTTTGACAATTGGTCCTGTCTCTGCTTTTTGGCTCATTTAGAATCCACCCCTGGCTGCTTCAGAATGGCTTCCATAGTGCATGTCCGATAAAGTCCTTAAAACAACCTTAAACGTTCTTTTTTTTAAATATGCTACTCACCGGGTCGTCATGGGGCCTGTTTACACTTAGTTGTAGTCTTTTCGCTTCACTCTGTGTACTCAGACGTCGAGGTGCTAACGTCTCTGTTAAACACTTTAAAAAACTCTGAAAATGGAATACGAAAGGTGGATTCTTGATTCTAGACGTCGGAGTACACAGAGTGAAGCGAAAAGACTACAACTGTGTAAACAGGCCCCATTTCCGTTTCCGGTGGCAGGGGAATATTGACTATTCCAACAGAACTCAATGGGATTTACAAAATGCTAAATAAAACACTACAGGAACGTTTTTTCTTTACGAAACTTTTTTTGGAACATCATTGAACAGCGCTGACGACCCGGTGAGTAGCATATTTAAAAAAAAGAACGTTTAAGGTTGTTTTAAGGACATTATCGGACATGCACTATGGAAGCCATTCTGAAGCAGCCAGGGGGGGATTCTGCATGGGCCAAAAAGCAGAGACAGGACCAATTGTCAAAATTTTGGTGTCGATCATTCGATTTCATCCTGGACACTACAGAAAATGGGCTAAAAGTGTTAAAAACCGGAATTCTCCTTTAAGTTCTAATAGCCTAAGGAGGTTTATAAGGCAACACCCTGTGGTATAAAGATCTGGTTAAAAATAAGTTATGTTTTTATTGGCGTTTTGTGAATGTTTGAAAAGAATGACTGAGAATTTAAGAAAAAAAAAGCAGAACAAATCAAAAAAGGAAAAAAAATGGGAAGAACGTTCCATCCTAAATCTAGCTATCACTTTATGGTTAAAAACAGCTGAAATAAAGCTAATTTCCATCCACATTCGAACTAACATTAAACATTCATATCTGTATTAAATAAATTCAGTCAGTTTGAAATTTTTTTTTATTTTTAAGGCTTCTTCTTCTGACCTTATACTAATGTTTAGGATAAACAATTGATTCCTAAAGACAACTTCAGAGGAGCTAATTACAGCCTCCTAAAATCAACAGTAAAGGCCTGGTTATCCTCCCTTTGCAGTGTGTCGCAGTGAGCTTGTCGCAGATATTTTTGATTTACGCCCAATTTTGAAGCGTGGTCTGCGCTGTTATTCCACGCCACAACGCAAGAGGGACAATCAAAAAATAGCTGTGGGTCTAGATACGGCCAAGGCGATGAGGAAGTGGGGGCAAGTTTGTGCGACAACAGAGGGACATGAGGGCCAAAAAGAGCGGAGATCCAGGTGGAAAAAGGGTCCCAGCGTTCGCACGCACCTCGCTCTTCTAGCTGGTCAAACTTTACGAGTTGTCTCCCACAATGGCGGTCATACAAACAAAACAAGCCGGTAAGGTACCAAACAGGAAATATAGTGTAGAACGGATATAGATTTGACCAATCAGAGGCCTCCTGTCTACAGTCACCTACAATTTTGGGGAGGTGCAGCAGAGTGTCTGTGGAAGGGGCGGGGCATACCTGTGTTAACTGCGACACACTTGCAGACGACCTGCTTTCCGAGTATAAATCAGCCTCAATGAGAAGAACATTAAAGCAAACAGAGCTGTGGTATCAGACAAAATATCGACATCCAGATTTACCAATTCAAATATTGGCATCTGAAGTGAAGAACTGTTGGTTGGAGCATCAATGGTTCTAACACTTTTTCATTGAATGAAGGAAAACATGAGCAGTGAGAAAACATCTTTAATTAAATATCATCATAAACGAGAGAATCTGGTAAACAAGTTAACAGTTCCAGGAAGTGGATTGTTTGTTAGTAATAAGACGTTTTTCCTGATCTTCTAAATGTGTGTGAAAATCCACTCACCAGCGTTGGAGATGCGCCTCCCTCTCTCCCAGTCCTGCTGCTCTCTGTCCAACTGCTCCTGCTGCTCCTTCTCCAGCCGCTCTCTCTCTGCCTTTTCTCTCTCTATCATTTCACGCTCCTGCTGCTCTCGCTCCATTCGCTCCCTCTCCGCCTGCGCCTCTCTCTCCTGGCGCTCGCGTTCCTGCCGCTCCAGCGTCTCCCGCTCCAGGCGCTCCCGCTCCTGACGCTCCTTTTCCTGACGTTCTCGTTCCTGCCGCTCCTTTTCCTGGCGCTCTCGTTCCTGGCGCTCCCGCTCCATCTCCTTCTGTCTCTGCAGCTCCTGGAGCTGCCTGGAGGAACAGAGAGCAGCAGAGAATGAGATGGTCAGCAAAGAGGAAAACATTTATAAGAGGTAAAAGCAGGAGGGAAAACAGGTGAAAGAGAAATCTCACAAGTGAATTAGACATCATCACATAAAACAATTCATTATCATCATTTCTCTGAGGTAGAACATCATCCTCTTATGCAATCGCAGCAGGCAGCTTTATTCTATAAGAAAGAAGAAGCAAAAAAACGAGTTAATATGACATGTGAAGGGCCAGCATGCGATGAGCAGTGATTGGTTCTCCTGCAGGGGGTTCCCAAGATTCAGGATGTGCTGAAACAAGTTCGGCCAGTAGGTGTCAGCAGAGGGCAACAGAAGAACAACAAGGACTCCTGTGAACAGAAGAACCGGCCTGAGGAGGGATGGATCAGATTTATTTACAATGTCAAAACAGACATTTTATAGAAAAATAAAAATCCCACATTATAAAGATGCTTAACACAAAAACATCTCAAGCGTTTGCATTTTCAATTGGAGCTTTATGACCAAAGCCTAAAGAGAAACCTGCAATTTAGTGTCTGTAGAAAATGTAAAAACGGCATCAAAAGGAAGACAGTCTGAACACGGACACACTGACAGACATGCTGCCATAATGCAGACTCTTTAGGGAACATTTTGCACCATTTGGTTTAAAACAACAATTTTTGTAAATGGAAAGTTGAAAAAGAAAAATGCAATCCAGAAATTAAACTTTAAAACAATTCTTAATCAGTGTAAGATTTTGAAAGCAACTTTGCCTTTTTTTTTCCTGATTTGAGAGTAACTTTCCTGTATTTTTCTTCCTTTATTAAATACATTTCTTTTCCATTTTTCTTTTAGTTTTAAAATTTTTGTAAAATGCTGCTTTTTTTCCTAACTTTATTTTTTTTTATGATTTTTTTTTTCAGATTGAGTTTAATGAATTGCATTCTTTCCAAGTTTCATTTTACACATCACATTCTATTGACTTCAAACCTAAACATTAATTCAGGCCAATAGAAATGCTTCTCCCCTCCTCACTCCAGAGGAAAGCCCACCCACAGAAGTCAAAATATAATCTGGAAAAAACATTCTGAATAGGATGAAATTTATAAAACTTTATCTGAAAAATAAAATGTGAAAATATAAAATAAGTAAAACAAAAATGTGATGGCATTTGCAACAACAACAACAAAAAGTATATATATATTTATATGAGAAAAGATCTGAGAAAACTGTAAACTTGCTCTCAAAATCTTATATTGATTAATACGTTTTTTAAAAGTTTCATTTCTGGATTGCGTTTTTTCAAATGTCCATTTATGCAGTGTGTTCTTTGCTTTGCAACAATAATGGTGCAAAATTCATTCTATAGACATTCAGCAGACAGATGTCCAGAAGGAGTCTCCTTCCTGCAGAAACTCTGGTCATCTTCTTCCCTGGCTTTATTCAGCCTGAGCTTCGCCTCACCCTCCTCTTATTTCATTTCCTCTGAAGTTTATCTGTTTATAGTAAATGTCTGCACATGCACAGTGTGTGAAACCAAGGTTGAACTGACTTGTCTGTGCAGGATAAAGTAGCCAATAAAGTCACTTCTGGAAAAAAAAAAGAAGCAGACACTGTGGGAAGTAGTGAACAATCAGGTTCACACATCCAAGGCTCCACATTGATCCTTCATGTTGATGGTGCATAAATCATATAAGGATAGAGAAGACAGGAAACGAGTGCCACCTCACACAGACACACCACATCAGGTGGCCTGCCGTCACGCCTCCTGTTCCTCTGAATGCTGACTCAATCATCAGCATAACGGTCGCTTCATACACACCCTCCTCCTTCCATCCTCCTCCAGGGACGCACATGTGCTCACACTCATGTTTCCACTTGTTTTTTTCACCAACAGATGATGTCAGAGCTGTCAGCAGGTTCATGAGAAATGTTTTGAAGGCTGCTTTCAGTTAAAGGTTACTGGTCTTGTGTTGACACACATCAGAGCAATAGTTTGGTCAGATTTAGCTCTGTTCTAATCTCACTGCTTTGGATCTTTCCTTTAGGATATTCCCACACTGCTGGGAACCTGACATGTACGTCCATGTGGAAGAGGACTTGTAAACATGTCGTGTTCCTGTTTCTTACGCTGAAGCTTTCAGGGTTTAATGTGTCTGTAGCTGCAGGGGAATCAACTCCAGTCAGGTTTACACAACGAAAACAGATGCTCATCTATGAAGTGTTCCTTCAGAGCATTTTATTTATTTAGGGATGGTGACCCCGATCTTATGTGTTTTGTCTTTATAATGGTCTGTTTTCCCAGGGATTCACCGTACAGCTGAGACTTTTTTTGTTGACAACCAAAAGAAACCACGGCATGTTGTCATGGTGACATGTCTTTGGTGTGGCTGCCATTACCAAGTGAAGACTCAAAGTTAGCCGCTTTAGTGTTGGTGGGAGATTTAAAACCAAGCCACATGAGGCACAGAGATGTTAGGAGCTATTTGAAATGAAACGGTATTTTAAAACTTAAAGGTCACAGCCACAGCCTTTTCATCAAGACAATATAAAAATAAATTACATCCAAAAGACGTCTAATGGTGGAGAACCATAGTATCAATTTTACTGGAATAATAAAACACTGCAAAGAGTTAAAATCAAAATAAGTAACTTATTCTTTAAATAAGGAAATTTTTCTTTCATTGAGGAGGCAAGTGAGACCTTTTGCCAATAGAATAAAACAATTTACATTTAAAATAAGAACAATTGCATTGTCTTATTTCAAGTGCATATAATTTAATTATCTTATTTTAAGAGTAAAATGCCCATTCCATTGGCAAAAAAATCTTATTTACCTACTTAAATTAAGGGTGAATACATATAATCTAAGACATTTTTACTTATTTCTAGATCCTTTTTGCAGTGCATAAATAAAGGTTCTATAAAGTTTGACTGGTCCAGAATATGTAGACATTTACCTCCAGTTATGATTACCTTTCTGGTGAAGGGATCCTGCACCAGAAGTAATAATAATAATAGATGCAAAAAATGCTGCAAAAGTCCACAAAAGAGTATCAGCAGGGGTTTGGAAAGGAAAAGTGGCAGCTAACTTAGCCTAGCTTAGCTTTACTATGGTGGACAGTGAGTAGGAGGAGGCTGCTGGTTACACCAAGCATAGATCTTTAGCAGTGGAAGCTTTTCCCCTCCTCGGTTGTGGAGCTGGATCAGTTTTAGCTGTTTGCTTCAAGGTGCTGACTAAGTGAAGCCTGAAGCTGGTGCTTCCCATGACTTATTAGCCAGAAGCAGGACTATGATGACACAAGCCTGTACCTCTGATGCAGGAGTGAACCTGCCTGTAGACAGGGAAAAGGAACTCCTATTACCATCGTTTCATTCATAAAAATTGTCGAAGTTCATCTCTTAGGCAGTGATTTGAGACATAATTTTGCAGTACTAAAAGATAATATAAAAATGCATTAAAATATGTAGTACAAATAAAAAGCATCACATAAACCCAGTTTATACAGTTTAATTGCACAAAAAAAGGAAAAAAAAAAAAAGCTTTTTTGGGGTGATTTAGACTTTAACATTTGTTTAAAATTTCCAACCGTTTGTGCAGGAAAGCAGCACAGCGAACATGTTCTTCAGTGAGATCTAGGTCAGGTTATGAAATATAATCCTTGCAGCTTCTAATTGCTTTGTTTGCTGGTATTATGATGAATTACACAGTTAGCTGCGCTGTCATCAGGCTGCATAACCTTCAGTTTCTGCAATAAAACGCTTCAGTTTCTCTCTTCAGCTGAGGGTTATTTGTGATTCGCTCAGTCAGAGACAAAACTAACGGTTGAAAAGCTGATGATCATGGAGGGAACGAAAGAAAAACATTGGTGCAACCTCGGCTCAAGACACAACAGCTCTGAACTTGCTCTCCTGACTAGTGCACACGCTGGTCTGTCCCAGTTCTCACGGTACCTCGGAGGTTCACTGATGTAATTACAGAAACACGGAGCTAACCTGGATTCCTAGCTGATGGAAGTGTAGCACAGACGGATCTCTGAGGGGTTTACCGTCCCCTCCTGGGGGTGGGGGGGGCTTATGCACAATAAAACATCCGCTCTGGCAGCAAATGAGTCCCTGTGTGATTCACAGCTCGGTACAGCAGCAGAGCATCTTCATAGTTAAATTTAGCTTACAGTGTGATGGCAGCAGAATTAGTCCAATCAGCAGGATCAGTGGGGGTTCCACCATTTCTTTATTTGCCTCTGCTATTTCCTATTCAAGTACACTTACCATCTGCCTTGCGCTGCACAGTTAACCACAAAACGACTGCTTTGGGTTGTTTCACAAAGTGGAGTTTAATAATTTAACAAATGACTAGTTTAGGGTCAGCTGCAGAGCAAAGCACTTTTTAAAGTCTGAGCTTAGGAAGGATGAAGAGAAGAAAAACGCATAAATAAAACCTTTATTTGGGACAATGTGCTGAAAAACTGCTCCACAGCAATAACACTGAGATGCTGGTGATGTAACCACTGAGAAATATCCACATGTTGTTAACAGAGCTCAGTTTCAGCTGGTTAAAGAAAGCAGATAAACAACCAGCTAATAGATGTTTATACCATAAACCAGGATGATTACTGACATCTGATCAGACACCCTAAAAACGAGATCGACTGATACAGGTTTTTTTAAGGCTGATGGGGATACGGATAATTTCAGTCTAACCGATCCCAGACATGCTGCCAATTTTTGAAGTCACTATTTATTTTTCTTCCATTTACATGACAAAAAAGTCCCAATGATAAATGATACACAAGTCTCCATTTAAACAAAAAGAGAAACACCTGGTACCTGGTGTCTTATTCATAGAATGCAGCGTTAGCAACATTAGCAGTTAGCCATGGTTAGCTATCATAGTTAGCATAGTTCCCTGGCTTCTTACACAAAAGGTGAAAAGTGAAGGTCTGCAGGGGGGTCTCTGATTGGTGGAATAGAGACGGAGTGGAGATGGAAAGGCAGGCT